GGTCCAAGATCATGGACATCTTCCAGTTCAAGGTCCGCTCAGAGATCACCTTCTATGACTCCGAGTCCGCACCCTCGACGAAGTTCGAGCCCATGGTCTACCTGTGCCTCGACCATCTCTAGGATCCGTGAACCCGCCGTCTATTTTCAGGTTCACTGGATATGCACCAGAGTCCCATTCGGCTACTTGACATGTTCCTTGACCATTGGGCTAATGTTCGCTTCTGACTAGTCCATATCAGAGGGATCCCCGTATTTGTGTCCCAGACTTCCGGTGGGATTTTCCCGTTGCCCCTGTTTTGAAGGTGTTCCCCTCTTCACATTTTTATCACGGCCGCGGGAGGTCGCAACATGGGTGGTTTCTCTCCATCAAACGACTCATTGTTTAAAGAGATTCCCTAATTTCGGTGGTGCGGCCTTTGCTCGCCTATGAACTTACCCAGTCCACTAACATGGAACCAGAGGGTTCCTGACTAAGAGCCCCCAGTCAGGTTTCACATCAAACGCGATTGGCTCTTTTCCCCAAAAGCGCTTGACTTCAGAGCAATGCAGGTCCCTTCCGCTGGACGGCAGTGAGGACGTCGCGTCGACCTCGTCGGCGCCGCCAAGGGCGGAGCTATGCTTAGAGCACTGCTTGAGGGCATTTTCGAGGAAGGAGGACAGGATTCCGAGGCCTAACCCCAAATAAAACGAACGCATAGGGTTTGTTCATTGGAGGGGTTGTTCTTCGCTGAAACATCGGAGGGTTGCTTTTTGTTTCGGTGGCTTCCTTTAGTTTGATATCCGACTTTCTACCCTTGCATCGGGTTGAATGAATTGGAAGCGAGGAGCTGGCACAGGAGGACTGGGTCTACAGCGAGAAGACCAAGCAGTGCGAGAGGTCTCTGAAAAAGCTGGACATTTGGAGTGCGCCTGACTCTCGTTGCACTTCAGGATTTTTGTTTTTCCTCTTGTTCAGTGGATTTTCACCAAGATTCCTGGTTGGTGATCTCTGCCGGGTCACTGGCAACTGTTGGTTCAGGGTGGTGGATTTTTTGGAAGGGAACCAGTCAGACAAGGGGTTCTAGCCACATGACACACTTCTTTACATCCTAGACTCACATATGTGCACGAAGTTGTACAGGAACCGTTCTTGAGAGGGGTCCAAATCTTAGTGTGGGTCTCTTTCTTTGGGGCGAACCTCCTTCTTTTTGGATTTTGGGGTCTCACAAAAGAACCCGCCAAGATTGGCAAAGTTTCGCATGGCTGAAACTTTGCCACATCCGAAGCTGGCGCTTTCAAATTTACCCACTTCTCTTCCTGGTTCGTTGTTTTTTTTTGTGAAACCACCCGCATCACCAGAAGCCTAGAGAGTTGAGGGTCCCTTGGCACCATCTGATGTCGAGAGCCAACAAAAGATCACAGAAGATCCTCACATGCCGACGAACCCTCAGAGGTCTCCTCCAAAAGAATGTTATTCACAGATTTGGGTACTCAACCTTCATGTTTTTGTTTGGGTAGGCTTACAAAAAGCACCAGAAAATCCAACAAACGACGTGTTTTTGTTGGTGTCTTCCTGTACGACGGGCCACGTGTTTCCTTCAATCCCCGGAAAGCCTCCAGTGGGGATTCCGCTTCGAGGACTGCCTCATCGTCCACCTGAAGCGCTTCGCGGTGAGCTCCACAGGCGTCGGCGCATGAAGTTTCTGAACAAATCAACAAAAAAACGGATGTGTGGCGGGGGGGCCCATTCAGCAGCTTTGCATCTTGGTGGTGGTGGTGGTGGTGGTGGTGGTGGGTGGTGTGGTGGTGGCTTCTCGAAATGACTTTTGCTGCTCCACTATCATGGGTTTTTGGTAGACCACTTAGGCTTTGATAGTGACTCATGAGAAGGGCTTCTGGTTCATTCGTAGGTGCTCCATCTGAGAGCAAGTCCCGCACTAGTTGGAACCATCCAAACCCCCCGCCAAGGCTTCGGACTTCAGATTGGCGCTAGCAAGGAGCGCAAGGAAGTCGCTTTTAGAGGTAAGTTGAAAAATCAAAGCAGAAGATCCTCAGGCTCTTTTTTGGGTGGTGATCAGTGCTTCCGTGATTGTTTTTGCGGTACAAGCAGCGTGAAACATGTTTGTTTTGCGCCATGTTAGACTGACGATGATGCGAGCAAAAGGCATCTTGAGCCTATGCCCGTGCTGGGCCTAGGCCTGTCGGTGTATCTTGGAGGTTTTCTTGGATCATACCTGCGCCTGCCTTCATCGCTGCGTTGAGCCAAATCGTTTGACAACATCGCCGAAAGGAAACACAACATGGTGTAGAATGCTTGGATCTCAAGTTTTGCGGTTGCTCATTGCAAGAGGGTACGACTGTTGAAAGTCACTTCCGCAACCAACACACATTCACAGAGCATGAAAACTCCTGCCCGCACGCGCGCAGGCCCACACGTACGCAGGTTGCGATAGCTGCCAAGTGCAGACCTATCTTTTGGGCCTGCGACAGCGACACTTCAGGTAGCCTAAATCAGTGATTCTCATCGGGTCTTTGCCTGAGCCATCCACAACTTGGAGGTTTGCTCAACCTGACCCTTCCGCCAGCCGACCCCGGCTCGCCTCTCCAAAGGGACGCAAGGAGAGGCAGTAGGACCCCCTACCCGCCAGAAAGTTAGAACTTCAGAATCTGCCAGCTTTGGTGCTTCAGATCTCGGGCCGGTCATCTCTAAGACCACACTCGGCCAACAGCAAAAACAAGGCAGGGTTGCTCCGAGCCTTTGCAAGGTGACCAACTGTCAGGGTAGAACATCTTCCCCGAACAGCCGCCGGTGAAGGGCTTCGGAGCTTGCGTGAGGCCACGTGGAGAAGATCACCACGTTTCTGCAGTTTCCATTTGACCTGAACCTCGCCCCATGGATCGTGGGCCCCTGTGACGGCGCTCAGTACAGGCTCTATGCGGTCGTGAACCACACCGGTACCCTGTCCTTCGGCCACTACACCGCCTACTGCAAGGTGGCTTTATTGTTCTTGGAATTGTGTCACATGGCCATGGGTCAAAAGCCTGTACCCCCAGTGAACATCCCAGTGCGCCTACCCGAAAATGGTACCATTGGTTTTGACCCACAGCCACATGTGTTTCTTTCTTCGTGCTGCTCAGTTTTAGCGTGGGGCGGCAAAGAGCAAAGTGTTCTTGCTACCACACCAAGGGTTGGGAAGGTTGGGGTGGTTCCTCTTTTCTGAGAGGCTCGGGGTTTCCCAAATGGGGCTGGCTTTACAGGCTACAAAGGAAACTGGGCACCATGTTAGGGGTGGTGATTCTTTGACAAAGCAGCCAGAGCAATTCCATGTCTGATCCCTGGGTCCGAAATGGAGTTGGTCCGAAATCCGAAACGTTGCTAAATAGCCCATGATTTCTAATTTCTTTGAAAGGAACCTATAGGAAACAGACCATATTTCAGATATTTCATGCAACTTGTTCAAACACCAAGGTGGGCGAAGGGTCGGATCGGAAATGGTACTACTTCAATGACGCGTCGGTCACTGCCGCCAATGAGGCGGACGTCGTCTCGGACCAAGCCTCTTTGCAGAAAGCGAGCCAAGCTTTCAGCTTTCTATTGGTGGCTAGCTTCCTTTTGGGTTTCCTTTGGGCCATCCAAGCAGGAACTTCCCTTCTAGAAACAGCTAAAAGAGGATCCCCTTTCTTTCCATGATTCATGGCGGTTTGGGCTTTACCCATTCGGCTTTCAATTTTCTGCTCAATTTTCAGTCAGGGTGCCAAGCTTGGCTTTTATTTCCGGTCCTTTGGGCAAGCGAGGCCTACCTACTATTCTACGAGAAGATTTAGATATGGCCATCGGCCTGCTCCTTTCCGTTTCACTGCGCCCAGGAACCAGTGTACATTTGGCAGCTGCAGTGCTACTTGATTCGCATTGCAATGATGGTTTGGAGCCAATCTCATGGACCTTTAGTAAGGTGTTGAGTGGGTTCTCGAGCGCTGTCCACCGCAAATATCCAACGGATCCAGAGACAGTGCGAACAGCGTACAGCGCAGGTGGAAAAATCGTCTGCTGGTTGTGCTGACTGGGCCAAACACCAACTTTTCAGCCTTTCAACTTTGGGTTCAGACTCAACTTGCTGGCTGTCAGTAGCGGGGAGTTTCAGGGGTTTGGGGACCCGAAAAGGAAGCTACTCCCTCCTTCCCTACTGAAAGCCCTACTGAACGCCCTTCAGTCAGCTAAAGGCAGGACGAGTTGAGTTGTATTTTCCAGGGTATTGCTTGGGTCAGGATTGAGCATGGCAGACTGGCTAGTGCCCCCACCCAAGCTTACACACACACACATGCAAAAAGAAAATGCAAAACACCACAGGCAAACAAAAATAGGGAGGGACAGTATTCACAGTGAGTAAGCTTTTGATATTGCAAGGGTTCCCTTTCCCTTTTGTTTAGCTCTGAAACCAGTGAGGTTTCGTCAAAATGTCCAGCAGACCGTGGTCTGTTTGGGAGGGATGTGGGGGGGACAAACCTGATTCCATATCGATTGCGGCAGCCCATACTATTGACCGTGGCTCGTACGCCTCCAAAAGGGATGTTGCAGCTTCTCACTGCAGGTCTTTCAAATGCACATTCATCAGTGAGTTCTACACTGGCCAGCGCTTGGTGAGACATCGCATAATACAACATGTATAGATACATATATATATATACAGTGTATACAGGCCCCCAGTCGCCCAAAGATGGATACCGGTCGCGCTTGGCAAGAAATTGTACATACATGGGCGTATCTACTGGCGAGCGCACCTCAGGGTAAAACGAGCTCACCAAGTGATGTAGGTTCTTTTCGCCTTTTCTCGGGATCGCCAAATTTGCGGATTTCTAGTGGCGGGTTTGCAACCTGGGAGTTTGCTGCAGCCCAATTCTTCAGCACCATCTAAATCCCATGTTTGTTTAGTATGTTTAATGTTTTTGGCACTACAACTGCCCCTGACCCCACGTGATCCCTCGCCTTTGGCGCACTGCTTTACAGTGGTGAACGGCCAGGTGGACCTGCTCATGACCGCCAGGGCCTGTCCCAACGCCCAAGAGGCAACTCAGACCAGCCCTCCGTTGGGCAGGTTGACCCTCTAACCAACCAACCTGTTTATTCATATGAGCCACCATCAAAATTTGGGTAGATGAAGGTTAGTACGGGGCAGTCCCAGCCAGAAATAGTTGCGGCCGCCTTCTTAATTCTGTACATGGTTCTGGGTAGACCACTTCAATACCTTGTTTTGATTGTGACTCATATGGGGGTGGGGGAACCTCAGATTAATAAACCGGGGTTGATGAATAGGGGGTCAACATTCGTCTAAATCAGAAACTGAAATGGTTCGTGGTTGAGCTTGTTCCATACTCCTTATTAAGCACGCAACAATGTGGCTTCTCGCCGCGGTACTTTGCCCCAAACGGACCTGTTAGGTCAGGAAGGGCTTGTCAATCCACCAGCTTCCATTCACCTTGTCATCAGAGAGTTGGTCGCGAGGACCAACGACAAATTCAGCCCATCCCGCACCTGGAGCCACAGTCAAAGCCTAGGTGCTGGAAGGCGGACAGTACCACGCAGAAATCGGTGCGGCTACGCTCACGCGCCATTTGACTCTTTAGATGGTTTGGGTAGACCGCTTGAATAGACCTAGCTGGTTTAGACTCGACCATATTTTTGTCCAGCGCCAAGCCTGTTTGTGACCTCCCATCTTAGATTTTGGGTCATGGGCCGAGAAAGAAGGGTTCGAGGTAAAAGGAACGGACACCCCCTAGGCGTATTTGTTCGCAGAAGTGTGCATCGGCCCCTTCTGCCAGATCACCCAATGTGGGGGCCGCGCACCGCTACACTTAGCAGCCGCCCTGGCTCAGTGTGGAAGGGCTGCGGCAGGACGGTTTGATTTGACATGCCCACCCCGAATGAACAAATGTATGTAACTATGTATATATATATATATATATGAATATGAGCGTGTATGTATGCGTATATATATATCTGGAGGGGGGGCCACATCCTTTAAGGGGGACCCTTTTTGCACATGCCACAAAGGTTCCTTATGTGCGTGCTGGACAATATTCCAGACCCAGCAGGGCCCTTTGGCTTCTGTCTTGGGGGTGGGCATGATTCGACCAGTGTGAAATCTCATCTAATCGGGCGAAGCCTTTCCTTGCTTTGACCTGGCCAACATCGTGCCTCCTCTGATGTGTCTAGTCGCAAGCGTGTACAAGTGTGTGTATACATATATATATATATATATTCCCACTTCTAGGGGAAACCAGCTGTTTCCCCCTGGGTGTTTGATGATTGGTTTCAGTGGGGTTCATCCATTTCTAAATAGATATGTATATATATATATGTATATATATATATACGTACACATATTCGTACGCATACAGACGCTCACATATGCGCACTTCTCGAAGCACCGTGAGATGATACTGTTGATGCAGCGGCTTAGGGGTCGATTCCGTGTTTAGTGAAACTACTAAACAAAAAGGACATTTGACGGTGACACTGAACAACCGCAGGTCAAGCTACTGTCCCAAACCTGGCTCCTGCTTTGCTGCATTGCAGCAAATCGATTGAGCAACAGAGCTTATACCTCACTTTCATGGGCAATCGCCACATGACTCCATGCTCTGTTCTGGGTGATGTGTACAAGCCGTCCGCCTGAAAAAGAATTGGTCTCACGGCCCACTGGGGGATGGTTGGAAACCAACTGTGTAAGGGCGGCTTCCAACCATTCTTTCCAGGGATCCTTCTTTTCAGGAAACCATCAAAAAACCCACTGGTTTCCCCTAGAAATAGTTGGACACCAACTGAAACCAATCATCAAAAACCCAGGAAAAAACAGCTGGTTTACAATAGAAATGGTTGGAAACCAACTGAAACCAATAAAAAAACAATCCCCAGAAGAAACAGCTGGTTTCCCTTAGAAATGGTCCCCTTGAAACTGAATCCATTCGTCAGGACAGGGTTGGTCGTCCACGCCAGGCGCAGGCCAATCTCACCGAGATCGCCACACGGCTGCTGGTGGGAGGCGCCATTACAGATGCCGTGCACTGCTTTTCGGGCCAATGAACTAAGATGGGGATATATGCGTAAAGTTAAATGGAACCTAATGAGGAAAAGTAGAGTGAGTACTAGATATTGATTTTGAATTGAACAGTTTCCGCTGGCCACCCTTAAAGTGAACATTGTGAGATATTGTGAGGGCTTTGCAGTCAGCAACAGCCAAGCTGGTTGACCAAATTGATTGACCAGGGCTTTCAAAGATATTGGTTGGTGGTTTCTCTTTCACGATGTAGAGGAGGGTCTTGTGAGAAATATGTTTTCATGGACCCAGTTCCCGGGCAGGAGAAGTGGGTCTGTCGATTTGAACCCTATCAGTTGAGGTGAAGTTTTAATGGGCGGTTTATACCGCAGGCGAGGAGTGTCGAAGGTTCTTTTGGCAAGTCTGACTATGACTTTCTTGTGAAGCCACAAAAGAAGCTACAGCACGGAAGGTGCCAACCCAGTGCTCCGGGACGCGCGCGGTAGCACGCGGGGGAGCCAAGGTGATGTGTTGTGTTGTGCTTCCATTTGTTTTCTTGTGATTATTATTGTGTCTGTGCTTCTTTGCATTTATTTGGTTGATTACAAGTTGGCTGTTGATTTGTTGCGCTCTTGCAGTGCTTTAGTTTTTGTTTGTTTCGTCTCCATTCTCTATCTGCTTCCTCTTCTCTCTCCCTGCCTCGATCTCCGTCACTCTCGCTCTCTCTCCCTCTCTCTCTCTCTCTCTCTCTCTCTCTCTTCGTCTTGCCTCTCTGTCTCCCCTCTCTCTGTCTCCGCCAGTCATCCTATCCCTCTACGGGCCTTTCTGTTTCCTTGCTTGCCTGCTTGCCTGCTTGCCTGCTTGCCTGCTTGCCTGCTTGCCTGCTTGCCTGCTTGCCTGCTTGCCTGCTTGCCTGCTTGCCTGCTTGCCTGCTTGCCTGCTTGCCTGCTTGCCTGCTTGCCTGCTTGCCTGCTTGCCTGCTTATTGCTGTCTTGCTTTCTTACTTTCTTGTTTTCTTCCTTTCTTGCTTGCTTGTTTGCTCGTTGGTTTGTTGTTGGACGGCTGCCACCATTTCCACAAGCCGAATCCCCAACTGTCCCTTTTCCTGTTTATTCAGATGCCGGGGCTGTCTCAACCCCCAAATTGGGCCTGTGTTGTTTCCCTTGAAAGCAACAGGAACAAGGGCACCCTCAAACAGAAGCTTTCTCCGGGCGTTCTTATTTCAAAGGGAAAACTCTCATTTTGGAGGCATCCCCAAAAAGACAACCATGTGGATGAACTGTCCTACCCGGATTCCGATTCCGACCGACGCTCTTTTCAACGAACGACTCGAGGCCGCTCCACGCGGCAGCCTTGGCCGGAAGCCCCAGAGCGCTCGTCAAAAAACTTCGAAAGAAATTGGCTTAGATGTTCAGCTAGGTCCCCCCAGCAGTGCCCTTTTACCTTTTTTGGGGGAAGGTTCCCCTACTAGAATAGACTACCGGAAAAAAGGTACCCTTATTCTAACCTCTCTACTGGAGGACATAGTCAGTGGTATCCTCTGCATCCCTTTATTGTTTAGTAGATCCCCCGTGAAACATTGTCCTGGACCCCAAAAGGGTTCCACTTTCCACTTTCCACGGGTCACGGATTCGGCTATCGACAGTGGCAAACTGGGTTTGTGAGCCTTTGCAAAGCGTTTCGCGGCATCTAGCGGCTAATTGAAAATTATTGATCAGCATAATAGTTATGGTTTATTTGGGGGGAACATGGTTGTGGGGGGAACCACTCACCAAATGTCTTACAAACTCGGGGCAGAGTTCTGATCCGCTCAGAGTCACTCGCCCGCTGCCACAGGGTGCTAGATCGCCAATATGTCTCAACTCCCTCAAAAGGACGCCGAAAGAGGCTGGGTGATGTTGGAATTTCGCCAGACCGGTGCAGCCGGTAAGAAATGCGAAGAGAAAAAAACAAAAACACGTCCCTTCCGTTGAAAGCTCTCAGCGAGCTCGCCCGTATCCCGAGGAAGGCCGGGCAGAAGTTACCAAGCTGCTGCTGGCGCATGGCTGGGGCCATGGCGAGTCATTGCAAGATAATTTTGTCTGTGTGTCACGGTGTCTGTTGTTGTGACAGGCTATAATATGGGTATGGCTCAAAATGAAACTGCCAGGGAACCGCAGGTTTTAGTCCTTGGTTCCTTTTATGGCTGTGAGTCAAAGATAGGTACTCAAGATGGAACCCTGGTAAATGGAAACATGGACCAAAATCTGCGGTCCCCTGGTGGTTCAATTTTGACTCATACCCTTATCAGAGCTCCATTTTGCCTACCTAGTTTTTTGACCCACAGCCATATATGTCCACAAAGGAACCCTAGTTTATGGGTTCAGTAAGCGTTAGTTAAGGCTTAGTTATGTGTCACGGTGTCACATTTGAGGGCTTCCCTTGTGGGTCGGTTTAAAGGCAAATTAAGGGTGGGCTCCCCATGTTGAGACAATTGAGCTTTCCTTATTTCAGTTTTCAGAATTCTTGCAGAGTCTGCAGAGATGAGTTGGATAGTCAGGGGGTGTGCGGGGGTAGTTGGCACCCCTACCCTCCCTCCAATCTTGTTGGTTTGAGAGTCAGGGAATGAGTTGGCACGATTTCGATCCATCCCTCATTGTTTCATTGAAGGGGATCCGAAACGGATCATTCCCAACCCCCCCCCCCTCCCCACACCAGTCCT